GAGACTAAAGCTGGCCATACATGGATCGGAATTTGGCAGGTTCAGCAGGTACCGAGCAAATTTCGATCCATGTATGACCACTGTAGTCGAACAGTGGCTATAGCCTGTAGTGCTGATCAGTGTATGCTGATGGTGGGAAAGTCTCCCCACTGTTAGAATACACAGCTGGGAGTATTCCCCATCCCGAATGTGTGGATGGGGTAATCGGGACAGTTTTTTTTTTTGCTCAAACTGCAGGTTGAACTTAAACATTTGAGTCATCTATGTCCAGCTTTACAGTCTATAGTTTCCAGCCTAATTTATGCAATGCCCTATATTATGCATGTAGGGGATCATCCTGCTGTAACAGGTATAGGTTCTTTGTGAGCTCTTGCTATTGAAAATATCTTCCGAATACACTCTGTATTTGAAATATTTCTCTACTGTTATCAACCAATGCAATCATTGCCTCCTTCTGACAATGTGAGACAACTTTTTCCCTTCTATAGGATATTTACTGATAAAATGGTCCCTGCCTAGTGTGGACCCTCCAATAATCCACCTTAACATGTATACAACCTCTCATGTTCATAGTGTTTCTACCTTTTGGGATTTCAGTGACAGACAGGTGGACTCCCTATTGAAGTGTCTGTTTGACTTAATTGGATTACCTTTTCACCTTCTACTGGTGAAGACTTTGATTTGTGAAAGTATGTCATAGCGGATTGTCTCCTGTAAATGGGACACTTCCAATACAAGGTATAAAGCCTGGTACACGCATTGAGTTTTTTTCTGTTCAATCCAGCTGGCTAAAAGAAAAAAACCCTGAAAGATCGCTGTGCTAACTATGCGATGTTAGTACAGTAATCTCTCCCGCTGTGCCTTTGTGTTCTGACAGGGGGAGTCCTTCCCTGCCAAAACACACTAATTATAGTTACATAGTTAGTCTGGCTGAAAAAAAAACAAAAGTCCATCCAGTTCAACCATAAAAAAAAAAGTGATAATCCTATACCCACAGTTGATCCAGAGGAAGGCAAAAAAACAACAAAGCATGATCCAATTTGCTTCTGCAGGGTAAAAAAATCCTTTCTGATCTCCCGAGAGGCAGTCGGATATTCCCTGGATCAACTTTACCTATAAATGCTATTAACCAGTTATATTATGTGTATCTAGGAAAGAAGCCAGGCCTTTTTTAAAGCAATCCACCGAGCTGGCCAGAACCAACTCTTGAGGAGTCTATTCCACATTTTCACATCTCTTACGGTGAAGAAACCTTTCCGTATTTGGAGATTAAATTTCATTTCCTGCAGATGTAAAGAATGCCCCCTTGTTCTCTGTGATGACCTCCAGGTGAATAACTCTACACAGAGTTCACTATATGAACCACTGATGTATTTATACATGTTGATTATATTCCCCCTTAATCTCCTCTTATCAAGAGAGAATAAATTCAGTTCCTCTAATCTTTCCTCATAGCTGAGCTCCTCCATGCCTCTTATCAGTTTGGTTGCCCTTCTCTGTACTTTCTCCAGTTCCCCAATGTTCTTTTTGTGAATTGGTGCCCAAAATTGAACTGCATATTCCAGATGAGGTCTTACTAATGATTTGTAAATTGGTAAAATGATATCTCTCTCTCTGGAGTCTATACCTCTTTTAATACAAGAGAGGATTTTGCTCGCTTTAGAAACAGCAGCTTGGCATTGCATGCCATTATTAAGCTTGTGATCTAACAGAACTCCCAGATCCTGCTCTGCCATTGATTCCCCCAGTTGTACTCCCCCTAGTATGTATGATGCATGCATATTCTTAGCCCCCAAGTGCATAACCTTACATTTATCAACATTAAACCTCATTTGTCACATAGTTGCCCAATTAAACAGTGCAGTGAGGTCGGCACGTAAGTTGGAGACATCCTGTAAGGACGTTATTCCACTGCACAGCTTGGTGTCATCTGCAAAGACTGAAATGGGATTTTTAATCCCAGACCCTATATTGTTTATAAATATATTAAAAAGTAAAAGTCCCAACACTGAACCTTGGGGTACACCACTAACAACCCTAGACCAGGGGTGGTCAACTGTGGCCCTCCAGCTTTTGGTGAACTACAAGTCCCATCATGCCTCTGCCTTTGGGAGTCATGCTTGTAAATGTCAGTTTTGCAATGCCTCATGGGACTTGTAGTTCTACAACAGCTGGAGGGCCACAGTTGCCCACCCCTGCCCTAGACCATTCAGAGTATAAATTATTAACCACTACTCTCTGAATACAATCTTTTAGCCAGTTTTCTATCCATTTACAAACTGATTTTTCCAAGCCTGTAGACTTTACCTTACATATTGGCTGTTTGTGGGGAACTGTGTCAAACGCTTTTGCAAAATCCTAGTATACCACATCCACCACCACACCTCTGTCCAAGGTTTTGCTCACCTCCTCATAAAAAGAAATCAGATTTGTTTGACAACTTCTGTACCCCAGTGTGTGTGATATTGGATTATTTAAGCTTTCAACACCCTGGGACCTCTTTTACTATTGTAATAAGAGTCTAGTTTGAGAAATTACATCCTACTCTTTTTCCCCTCCTCCTTACAAAACAGTCTATTGCCTTTAAGGATCATTACACCCCTTCTAGTGCTTACTCCTCCAGTGGGACTTTTTTGCCCCTTTTTATCTGGTTTAATTCAACTGGAACTGAAAGGGTAAACCTCCTCTAAGGCAAATCATTTCCTAAAATTTTGCACTTCATGCAAGGTGAGAATCCTGTTTGTCTATGATCATCATAAGTATGTCCAATTTCTCCTTCTAGTTCTCTTTTTGTGTTCGAGATTCTGCATTTTGAACTAGTCATCCCACAAGATTCAGTGGCTATTCAACTAAATATGCCAGTTTACAGATTCCTCTTTCCATCTTGAAGTATTTAGTTTGGTTTATGATAACTTGTGAAAGTAAGGCACTTGCACCTTCTAAAGCACTATATAATACCAATCCCAAATGGATAATATAACCAAAACAAAAATAATAGTACATAAATAAAAGTCCAATGATTGTGCAAAACCCCAGCACCACACTGTGACACAGTAGTTATTTTGTGTGTATTTCTACTACCACATAAATTTCCCAACTTCTTCACCACTTGTGCTCAGAAAATAAGTGCACACTCTCCAGAGGTTTATGACCCCTTTTCACATGAAGGTCAAATAGTGTTTTGGCTCTCAAGGGTTCTTTCATTTTAAGATGTTCCTCTTTTATAATTGTGGCCAATCACTCATACAGTGATAAAGCAGGAGATATCATATAAAAGCGTCATTGAGTAGTATTTATTTAAAATTGAATAAGACCAGTGGGTTAAATTATTAATAATCACATGCTACAGTGCCTACATACTGGTACCAGTGTATACAGCTTGTATTGCTGATACTGCTCCGCCGTACCACTCTCACTGATTGGCGTGCGTTCCAAGCCTCACCGTTTCAGGCCAGATGTGACATAATACGGGACCCGGAAGCAGCGGTCCTTGCGCTTCTATAAGAGGATCTGGATAACATCTTAAAGTAAAAGTACCCTTTAGCTCCAAAACGCTATTTGACCTTCCTGTTAAAAGGGGTCATCAACCTCTGGTGAGTGAATAGCCTTTTACCATGTGACCTCTGTGATCATTAAGATTTCACACGTAGTAAGCAATGATGTCACAAGTGACATCTTGCTTACTACTTTGCATGTGATCACTGATTGGCCAATCAGTGATCACATGATCGGGACAGAGGTCCCGTCCGATGATCGGTGTTTCACTGTGTCCAGAGGACACAGCAGGCACCGGATCGCGGTGCTGCGTGCTCCCAGGGAGCACGCACAAGCAGGGTGCGGGGAGGCTGTTTATAAACGGCCACCCGACCCTGCACTGCCGCCGTCCGGCCGTTTATATACAACGGCCGGTCGGGAAAAATTTTATGCTTTAATACTAAAAGTAATATTCATCTGTTGATACTTTACAATTCATTTCTTTTAATTTATACTTTCAGTATATACCAATTCCTTTAATAGACCACTTGAAAATACATTATACAATTTTAGTGGCAAACTACAGTATACATGAATCTTACAGTATATAGTGATTTTTTTTTTTTTAATATATATGTTTGGAGTGCTGCAATAAATGTTCGTTGACTGCTGCAGCCCTCTCACTAGGACACATAGGGGTCAGCTTCCAGTTTTTTTTTTTTCAAAGCTTAACTGAACAAGTTGAAGTTAGTAAATCAATCCCATAGTTTAAAGGGAAAGATGTAGGAACATTTTTATTGTGTGGCAATTGTTCATCCCGCCGATCACTACACTGTTGCCTCTAGTTGAAAAGCACATTTCCTGCATGCACATATACCAGAAAAAGCTATTGTTGCCACTGTGTGCCTTTAAATTAGTTTTTTCTTATTCTTAAAAGGTAAAACCATTCGTGTTTAAAATATGGCAAACGATAAAGCTGCTGGGTCCAATTTACATTTCACAATACATTTGGAGTGGCAAATTATCAGTTTTCTTCACTGACTCCTCCAATATTTCTATGTAGATCTTGGTGCATGTACTTCCACTCACTACTATGATCCTGCCACACACCAAACATTGATACCTTGTGAATGTGACTTTTGTGGCTAAAATCTTTATTTGTCTTCATCAACATTTACCCTCTGTTCCTACCACTAAGCAGGAATTAAATCTTCCCTGAATGTTCAAGATAAGTGCCACAGAATCCCAATGAATCAGAATATATCTAGTTTAAAAAATATGTACCATTGTTACATTGTATCAAATATGAAATTTTGTATGGCCCATAGCAACCAGATCATTATGTTTAGTTATAGTTTCTATGTTCACAACAGCTGCAATATAAAAAAAATGTCAGGAATCTAAATGATTGCTATAGATACTATTTAAGATGGTACCTAAATACATATATTTTTCAAAAATAAAAGCATCCTGGAAGCATCTTCTCACTTCACGTTTGATGTATGGGTATGCTGGTGGATGTTTTCCTAGGCTGCTGTTTCTGTTATTGTGTCTTCACCAGCCACAATTTTAACCTCTTTCTTTACAGAAAATGTTTTGGTTACTTTAGTTCTAAAAGATTTGGAGAAAAAAAAGTATACAATAGGATCAAAGCAAAGATTGGAAATGGACAGCAACAGTGTAGATTCTTTTGCATGGAAAAGGACTTGTTTCAGGCTGCAGTCTGTGATGACATCATTTTGACTTAACGTGTATGGAATTCGGACGATGTGGTAGGGAAGGAAACATATGATGTACCCAGCTGTTATTAGAAAAATTTTCACAAGGGCTGCTTTGATATTGTCAAATTCCTCACAGTCCTTATTTTTATAAAGCCTATTAATAGTAATACAATTAGAGATCAAGATTATACAGGAACAGTTCAAAAATATAGCAATGCTGATAAAATTGGAGAGCACATGCCAGTCTTTTCCAATCTTCTGTTTAAAGTCAATGCATCCAACACCCTCCTGTTCAGGAATGTCTCTTATAGGGATCAGCATGTTTGGTAGCATAATGCACAGCACCAAAGCCCAAACAACTACTGATAGCATTGTGGCAAATCCTCTTTTTTGTATTTGGTACAGTTTTGCACTCTGTATAGTCTGTAGACACCGATCCATGCTAACAAATCCCAGGAATATTATAGATATATACATGTTGATGTAAATCATACATGCTGTTACTTGGCAGTGAAAGATTTTCAACTTCCAGGAAGCCAGTCCCAAGTCAACAACAATCTTAAATGGCAAAGCCAAAGTCAGTAGCAGATCTGCCACCAGCAGGTTTATGAGGTATACATTTGTACATTTCTGGCTGTTGTCTTTCCGGTTGAAAGCCCACAAAGCAAAACAACTCCCAAAAAAGCCTACCAAAAATATCATCCAATAGAAATATGTGAATGGTTCCAAGTCTTTGTTGACGTTACAGGCAACGTAAGAATTGTTGGCATTGTCCTTCATTGTAGGAGAGCCCTGCAGCCAGCTCCAAGGAAAGGCCTAAAACAGTGCACAGAAAATGTGGTTTATTATTTAGCTATATGGGAAACTTTTGCTCATATATTAGATTATACAGCAATTTATAGATGTCTTAATTGCAAACAGAAACTTAATTAGAATACAGCCTTATTCAGTTATTTCCTGTTGATATGTGCATACTCCAGTGTTGGCTGCACGTCATAGCTCTGGACCTGCTTTAAAATGGCAACAACAGTGGATCCCGCTTGCACAATGTGTGTAATCACTGCTGCTTGTTGTTTCTTTTGGGGAAGCATGTGATAGGGTAACAACCCAGAAACATAACTGGGGGACAGCTGTCACCACATGAAAGGAATTGCTTGAGCAATGACCTTCATAGGAGAATCATTAAAGTGTTACTAAACCCACAACAGTAAAATCAGTCTGTATATGCAGTAAAGCATGCTTGTTATACTCTCTGTGGGACCTAAGGGGTTAATCCTCTGAATTGTGTAAAAATGCTGTTTGATCCTAACTTCTCTTATCCTTCCCTACTTCCAGTGTCCCCCTTTTATGTCCTGATAAGACATATCATGTGGAGACACTCTGCACATGCTCAGTTTGGTGTGTTTTGTTAGGTTTTTGTATTCTTGGGAGAGTGCATGTGATCAGCACAGGGCCAATCAGCACTGTCCAGACAGAGGTCAGGGGTCCTGCATTCTCCTAGAGAAAAATGAAAACTCCTCTTACAAGCTTTAACATGTGCTCGGCTGGTGAGAAAAGGTATTTAGCAGTTTATATTTACTAAAATATTTGCACTTCCATGTTCTGTAGGAGACCAGATACAGTGAATGCAGGGTCCTGAGTTTTTAATAACACTTTTAATAAATTCTGGGTATTTAATTTGTTTTCATTTCTGAAATGCTAATAGTACTGGCACCCCTATGAAAGTCAGATAAAGTATACTAATAAATTGCTAACCCACAAACTGATATTTGGTGTTTGCTCAGAAAATTAAGTAAACAAATTCAAAATGAACGATCATGTCCTGTTACAAGCACGGCAAGGGAGTTGTGGCTTAGTATTATACCATAGATGGTATTCATGTCTGTAATGAGCCAAAGGATTTGTAATGTTCAGCACAAAAATGTAACAACAGTACACTATTCTCAAACTGTCTCTCTTCACATGCCTCTTTTTACTTAATAAAAAGTGGTGAATGAAGGGAAAGAAAAAAAAACTCTTTTTGTTAACCAGTCATTGCTTATATGTGAGTAGCAGAATCAAGTTAAAGAAGAAACCAAGGTATGGATATTTTTTTACATAGTTATGTTAGTCCATCTTGGACCAATGTATCTTTGCATATACCACACCATGGGATTCTCATGGAATTGGGAAATCACTGTAGTAGGCACCACTATTACAGTAATCTCTGCTTGCTTCTGGGTCTGGAGTGACTGCCCTGCTAAACACAGGTTGCCTGTACCTGGATGTCTTCTTTAATTTGATGCTGCCACTCAGATATAAGCAAGGACTGGTTAGCAAAAAGTGTTTTTTTCTTTTAACCTTCATTCACCACTTTCTACAGATAAAGGAGAGGCATGTGAAGTCAGAGCTAGTTAGTTTTGCATTCATTAAAAAAAATGCAGGGAGATCTCTGAATGGCTTTCGTGCCAAGGGGAAAACTTCCGGTGTGCACATTGCAGCAGAGCAGCTGCTTGGCACGGAACCCGGAAGCTAGTGGAGGTCACCGGAGTAGCTATGCCTACTACAGTGATTTCCAGCTTCTAGAGGGAGCACACAGATATGGTATATGCATAGTAACATTGTTCCAAGCTGTACCAACTATGGAAGAATACCCATAGTTCATCCATCAATATCAATATCCATCAAAACTATTACTACAACCATCAGTCCATTCCCTCATACAGGGTACTAGGTGTAATCCTAAACTCCCATCTGTCCTTTTAGCCCCAAATCCAATCACTGTCCAAATCTTGTAGACTTCACCTCTACAAAATCTCCAAGATACGCCGTTCTTAACCTCTGAAACCACTAAGCAACTTATTCACTCCCTGGTTATCTCTCGCCTTGACAATTGTAACTCCCTCTTCAATGGCCTACCTCATCGCAGGCTCTCCCCTCTTCAGTCTATCATGAATGCTGCTGCCAGACTCATCCAACTTACTAACCGTTCCATATGTGCCATCCCTCTCTGCCAATCCTTCCACTGGCTTCCCATTGCCCAACTAATAATATTAGAAACATTAACAATAACATATGAAGCCATTTATAACTCTGCCCCAAATTACATCACCAATCTTGTCTCCAAATATCACCCAAACCATCCTCTCAGCTCCCCCACAACCTCCTGCTCTCTAGCTCCCTTGTCTCCTCCTCCCATGCTCATCTCCAGGACTTCTCCAGAGCCTCCCCCTTCCTCTGAAACCCTCTACCCCAATCTATCCGACTATTGCCTACTCTGCCCACTTTTAGGCGATCTCTGAAAACCTATCTCTTCAGGGAAGCCTATCCTGCCTTCAGCTAATAAAGGAATCTTCTATTCCTCCAGTTCATCTCCCACAGTTATTACCTTTTGTACCACCAGCCCTTCCCTCTTAGATTGTAAGCTCCAAGGGAGACCAATTTCTTCCAGCCTTTTTTGAGCTTTAAAAAAGCTAGTGTGCATGGAGACTAATAAAGCTTTCTTTCATGAGCTGGCTGTTTGTTTATGTTTATTACATAGTGCTTATCCCTTGAAATTGTTCATTTAGTATAGCGTAAAATATAAAAACTAATATTTTTATATATGACTTTTATGAAGGCAAATTTGTTATAAAAGAGCACAATATTGTGCTGACGTTTGTCCTGTCTTGGGCTGCTGGCTGCTTTTACTGCTGCTGTCATCTTTACATATCTAAATATACAATCCTCTTTCCTGGTAAACAAGCAGCACTGTGGTTATTGTGGTTTAACTTTTACACGTCAATTGACCGTAGTTGAAACTAAAAAAAGTTCTTGTTCATAGAAAAAGCTTTCTAAAGTTTTATGTTTATTACACAACTGTGAATGTCAAAAATGCCCACACTGCAAATTTTTCCTTCCATGTATTATAAAAGAGACAATACCTGCTGACTGTGTCTTGGGCTGCTCTGCACTTCGGTCATCACAACTTAGGAACAGATCAAACACTTTTTCAGGACTATCATGTGTCCCTTTCTAACCCTGTGAAGTTTATATCAACTCTGGGTATGGAAACCTGTATCCTATAATGGTGTGTTTACTTAGGAACAACAAACTTTTTAATCTGCTGTGAAGTTTAAATTCTAAATAGTTATTGCAAGCAATAGTATTGCAGCAACTGTTGGCTAAGCTAGGATATACCATAAAAAATTAAAACTGAACTTCAAGCAAACAGCTACTGTACGTACACAGCTGAAATATATACTGTATATGGGAATTGTGCTTGTTCTTCTGTGCACGTATCCTAACTATTACACAGCCCCGAAAAACTCAGTTTTCTCTGCTGCAGTTAAGCAACATAAGTTTCCTTCCTTTCCTCAACCTGTGACTGAATATTAAAAAAAGCAGCAACAGATTTATGGGGTCATCCTACCTTGCACATCTGCAAGCACGGCTTCCAACTAGTCCTTAGTGCTCTCACGCACTCTCATGTGCAGCTGTACAGAGTTTTGCAAAAGGTGAAAATAAAGGCAAATTCAGTATTTATACTAGTTGCTTTTAAATATACTTTATTTTTTAAATAAATACATAACTGTATTCATTGTTGTTTTTAAATTTCTTTCTGGAGTTCATCTTTAAAATTTTGTCTATCTATTGAGAGGATACAACGTGCAAGGTGAGTATATTATTAGTGCAAATCAACCATTTGATTTAATGAAATGAGTAAAAATAAATATTAAATAGGCTTCTAATAAGCAACTAAAATAGCTAAAATCCAGCATCTAGTGTCCAATGCCCATGGCTGTCACATGTATCCTCTCCTAGAATACACTGCTTAGCAAGTCTGAGGGTCAGCTTATGTTAGAGCATCTAGAACACTTGCCTAAATGTTTCACAGGCCCATGTCTACCTTTAGTTGGGATAAGCACACCTACATAGCTCTGAAATTAAGAGGTGGACTTGGTCAAACAAGTCCAAGGACATGGTAGTAGGTCATTTGCTCTTGATAAAATTGGCTGTAGTATGTGTATGTATGCACATGAAGTAAGGACTTTAGGTTGTAAGCTCCTAGAGAACAGGGACTAATGTGAATATAAACTGATGTAAAGTGCTGCATAAATCATCAGCACTAAATAAAAACAAAACATAAATAAATGGCGTACTATCTCCAGGCCAACTCTGTCCATGTAATAATTGTTTATGCCCATAATGGCACACTGACACTTGTACATTGTAGTAACACTTGCTTTATTGTCCATTACGGCAACACAACAATGCCCATACTACACAGTTTTGAATAGCACCACAGTGCACTATGAAGTAGCATGACAGAACATAAACCCTTTTGTAATGACCACTTTTGTGTGAATGGGGCCTACAGGAGCAGTTTAGTATTGGCTTTTTATTACCAATACCCTTGCCAAAAAAACTGCCTATGCAGGTAAGGGGCACCTGTGGATAAAGACAAAATGTGCAGCATTAACCAAAGGTGATATACCTTGCTATAAGTGTATGTCATTTACTCCCAGAGATGTTACCCCACTGTTGCTAGGATGTTGTTAAGACACTCCCAACTGTTACTGCTCATCTCCACCATCGTAGGAGAGAGCTCTTTCTCTGTTTCAAAACCCCTTGAATGTACTTCAAAGGTACTTTGATGGCTTCCACCTACAGCATGCTAATAATTCGACTTTGGGCACAGTTGTAGAGTTTGTTTTTGTGTACAGGTGCCCCCTTACCTGCTT